CATTGACGGATTGTCCAAGGTAGTAAATTTGTTTCTACTGATAACTTGATTTAGTGTAGAGAGATCATTATAATTAGTGTAGATCTTTGTTCTGCTCATGCTTTGATTGCTAGGAGAGTTATTGCTAGTGTTAGGGTGTTGAGTAGAAAACTTATCTGGTATCCATGTGAAATTTTTTTGTTTGTACCTGATTTTTGGATTGCTTCGTTTTCCCTTCCAATGGCTCTCTTTTTCTTGGAGAACTTAACCGTCTGCCACACTTTACCAATGGCATCTTGGACATTATTGCATTCATACGGGTGTAGAGTTGGGTTGCTCGGTAAAGTGTTTGTTACTGTTGGCGAAGCTTTTCTATATTGGCACTTTACAGCCACATGGCCTAGTCTTCCAACAATTTTTACATAAAAGATTTTCGCTCTCATACTGGATATGTTGTTTGTGATTTTCAATATGAATGAAGGGAATAACAGACTCTTACAGTGATAGTTCAATACACAGTCTAGCATAACGACCCCTTAGAGTAGAAGATGTACAAGCAGCTATTTTTAATAATCTACCAATGGTATTTTCAATTTTTGCTAGTGTAATACCATCGTAGAACTCGATTGGCAATTGTGGTAGACGGACCCATACAAAACTGAGTGAATTATTTACTTCCGTTGCTACAAAGTTTGGTTTCCATCTCTGAATTGAAAGGAAGTGGCCAAAAATAAATCATGGGCCATGATATAAAACCTTGAACATGTGATCCTCACAGCTGAATTTGGTAATGTAGTAATCTGCTTTCAGATCGATTAAAGGAAAATTTTCAGGGATTTTTCAAATTTCTTGTATTTTCCTTTTGAGAAGACGGTGTTGGATTTTTTTTACCAGGGAGTTTGATAATAATAGACTATTTCCATGGTTGGTAGATACGTTCTTGTTCTTCCAAAAAAAGATGGATTCTGTGGTATCCAATTGTACTTGAGTTTAAAGATGTCGGGCTTGATTCTTGTGATATTGAAGGAAGACTATCATATGAAGGGGTGTGTATATTAATTACGGAATTTTGCACACATTTAATTAATTTATCTTTAAAACTCGAATCAGGTTTATTGTGGTATATGCTAGTGGTTTTTATTACTATATCTGACACTACTAGAAATTCGGCAAAAACCGACCAAGGTCGACCGACCAACTTTGGTCGGTAAAAAAACCGACCAAAGTTGGTCGGTTTTTTAATTTTTTTTTTTTTTTCGAAACCGACCAACTTTGGTCGGTTTTCTTTGGTGCAAAAATGCGGGAAACTATTTTTGAGTCCCGCGAAATTTATATTTCAAGAAACCGACCAACTTTGGTCGGTTTTTCAATTAATATAAATAAAAATTAATATTAAAAAAATTGACCAAAATTGGTCGGTTAATTCGACGGGTCATTTAAAAAAACCGATCAACTTTGGTCGGTAATTTTACTTTTTAATAAAATCGACCAACTTTGGTCGGTTATTTTCGTGCGAAAATACAATTAAAGAGTATAAATCAAATAAAAGACAGTCTTAAAACAAAATGTACAAATGGTCTAGTGGTAGAATAGTATCCTGCCACAGTATAGACCCCGGTTCGATTCCCAGATGGTGAATTTTTTTTTTACATAATTAAAATACCGACCAACTTTGGTCGGAAAAAACCGACCAACTTTGGTCGTTTTTTTTGCAATATTTTTTTTTTGAATTTAATTGACCGACCAACTTTGGTCGGTAATTTCCGACCAACTTTGGTCGGTATTCCTTTCCGACCACAAAAATACCGTCCACACGTAAATGGTCGCATTTTGGTCGGTTTTTGGCCATTATCGACCAACGTTGGTCGGTTTTTACCGAATTTCTAGTAGTGTGATGGTTTGGGTGGTATTTGGAACATTTGGTCTTGATTCTCCATAGCAACTTGAGTAGGTTATAGCAAGTGTGATAAACTTAGCTTGTTTAGTGAGAGGCCAGAGAAAATTTTCTAGAGTGAGAAAATTCCTATTTCAAGATCACCCTCCTGTTTTCTATGTTTATGAAAAGAAAGCGCACAACTTTTCAACCAAAGCATATTTCATTATTTAATAAGACAAACTGTTTGAATACCAACGGCTTATTTAATTGGTTTAAAGTGGGATTAGTTGGTGTCATGTATTTAATTAGTTTAAAGTTGGATTGGTAGGGTTTTAATGACGACTTTATGTTGAGCACCGTCCTATTGTTTTCTTCCATGAACCAACATTAAATTACTTACTATTTTGGGTTGTTGCAATATCAGTGTAGGTTATAAGGTTTAAACCTATAATAAATACTACCTTTTGGCTTCATTGTTAACTTCGTCAAATATTGAATATTAAAAACACCAATAAGCCATTCTAACACCTCTCAAAATATGGAAAAAATCAAAAATAGCGAGATTTACAATTGATATTTGAAAAATAGTCACAATTTCAAAAATAATCGAAATTTAGTTATTTTTTCATGTAAAGATGTAATCTGAACAAAAATACCCTTAAAAGTTCGGAAAAATTCTAGCGTAATATGTTGTAGTTCGATTTTTTTTATATATATAAGATAGTATAATATGTTGGAATTTATAATGTGCTGGAGTTCCAACATAATATGCGGGAAGTTTAAATAGAGAAGCTCCATAAACTAGCATATTATGCTGGAATTTTCCGTGTAAGAGTTCCAACATAATATGATGGAAGTTTATATGCAGGAGCTCCATAATCCAACATATTATGCTGGAACTTCCCGTGTTTCAGCAAAACACTGGCTATTTTTCAATGACTTTGCAAACACTGGCTATTTTTCGATTACCATTCCAAAAACTGGCTAGACCGTGCTATTTTCGCCTCAAAATACATCGATCAAAGAGCCAACTACTAAGTAACACTAATTATTAGTACCAAAAATTGAGAAAAGTAGAACTACTATAATTATTAATAGCTTGCTGTATTTTGATTATATATCTAATAGCACAGAAATACTTACTAGAATACATGAACAACTAATATTATCGTGGGTGGTTGGACATGGATGAAATTTGCAGCATCCTTTAAAATAAAACCCATACCAATTTGTTAGTATCTTGATATTCTTTGAGGATTTCCTAAATTAAATAATGAATATGTTTATCTGCTTTTTCTATTCTACGTAGGGTGGACATTGATTATAAAAAATGTTTATTTTAAAAATGAAACAATAATTAGCGACAAGGGACTAAAAACACACATGAACGCCGAAAGAAACGAAAACAATTACTACTAGTGTACTACATACTGCTTAAATTTTAATTTTAATTTCACAAGTTTGAATTTTAGTTGTTTCTCTATCTAGCTAAACCTTGTATACTTTTAACTATGAAAAGAAAGTATACACAAGTATCAACTGTTTTACCTTAGCAATTAAGATGAGTGCTTCACATAAACGAATACTTCAAATTAAAGATACCACATAAGGTAGATCACAATTCACAATATAGTTTTAAAAATCAGGAAATACCATTTTATTTTTTATGCAAAAAAAAGAAAGAAAAAAGAAATACCATCAAGAATGTTATTATTATTATTATTATTATTATTATTATTATTATTATTATTATTATTATTATTATTATTATTATTATTATTATTATTTGGACTAGCGGACAACGACACGTCTCGAAAAGAAAGACAGTTTAGTTACATTATTTACTTAATTAAGATTTCTCAAATTAGAAACCTCCTAACCAAGAGGCAAAAGTTTGGAATGAACCTTCATTACTTATTCATTGGCATAACAATTCAAAATTCTGCAATTTATTGAGTTAATTGTTTCAATTAAGCAAAAATCTCGGGTTTTAGCGAAAGTCAGCTTTTGATATGGAGCACTTTACTCTCAAAATGGGATTTCTTGATGTCAAATTAGAGTTAATTAGGCTCCAAAGTAAATAACTGACACTGAATAAAAAATCAAAAAAATAATATTACTTACTCACTTTCACATTTGTCCTTCGCAAACAAATTTTTCCAAACAAGTCTGCCATTTCCATAACTAATTGCCAAACATATATTTTGGGAGAAGAAAAAGAAGGAGAATTATTTCTAAAGAAACAGAAGTTGGGGAAAACAGTGAAGAAACAAAACAGTTACGAATTTCCAATTTCTTCTCTTCGTTTTTAGACCTCGAGAATTATTTCTTCTCCCCTCTAAAGAAAGGAAGTAATAAAGATAGTGAAAAGAAAGTATCCTTAATTTCAAATGATCCCTTAAAATTTAGATAATTTACTGCATCAACCCAAGAATTTTGTGACATAATATACTCTCCGTTTCACTTAAAAGATTCACACTTTTTTATATCCAAAATCATTTAACTTCACATTTTCATTTTGCCACTGACATGACTTTAATGTCCCCTTGGATATGAGAGAACAAATTAGTTAATATTTAAAATAAAAGTGTTTTCTTATGTGATCATGCGGAGAAAATGATAATAATTCTCACTTATATTTTGAGGTTAGTTCAAAAGTGCTCTTTTTATTATATTCTAAACAATTTTAGTTATTTAAGTTTGTTAAAGTGCGTACATTTAATCTCTATCAAACGTTAAAGAAACTCTGGTTATTTTATTTAATGGGAACTATGAAAAATAGGAGTTAACATGAACTCATATTAGGAGATACGATTTACATAGTTTTTATTATTTTTGGCATATTTTGAATTTTGTACAGCTTTTTGAGGTCTAATTTCTGCTATTTTTAATCTATATCTAGTTTTTGCTACTGTAGTTTATGAGATTTGTCGACTTAAATTTTTTTCTATTACAGTTTTCTTTTAATCTAATAACCAAAGTTTGTTAAACATGTGAAAAAAATAAAAAATTTACGGTAAAATTAAAGGACCAAAGACTGTATAAAGTATATTTAAGGGACCATTTTAAACCTACCCCAAACATAGAAGATATTTTTATCATTTTCTCCTCGTCTCCGATTATGCCTATGTGAATTTTTAATTGTCAATGAGCCCTTTAACTTTAACTAATTTTCTGCACCGACCCGCGAAATGGAAAATGAAAATGTAATATAGTACTACTAGGAGATCAGTTCTTCTTTCGATTTCCCCTTTGATTCCGTCATTCCCATTTACACCACTTCTGATTCCCTTTGAAAATTTCACAACATATCCTTTAAGCAAATTATATTTTTTCTGCCCATATTTATAAGTTGAAGAAAAGTAGATTCAGATTGAATTGTGTAATTGGGTATTCAAAGTAATCGAATTTGAATAAAAAAGATGGATTCTGCAATACCCGCTTCTCAATCGGAAGAGGGGAAGCGAGAGGAGGAGGCAGAACCCAAAGAAATGGCGCACAAGACTAAGGTTATTCAATTCTTGGGCCGAACCACACCAATTATTCTCCAAAACGACAATGGCCCATGTCCACTCCTTGCTATCTGTAAGCCCCCCTTCTCTTCCTTAGGGTTTTATTGAGTTGTATGTATACTTTGAGATTGAGACATATTATGGAAAATGTTTGTTACTATCTTAGTTCTGTTATTTTGGTTATTTGTTTTGATAAAGATCATGTTTTTACTTAATTTATATATGAAATGGAGTATTTTATATGAAATTTGCCAGTAGTCTTTTTAGGTTGGTTAGAGATTTTTATAATAGTAAAGAATCTTTAGTTTTAGAGAACCATGTAGAGAGAAAAGATATAGAGGTCGTATATAGCAGATCCTTACTAATTTGGAATTGACGCGTAGCTGTTGTTGTTGTTGTCGTCATCGTAAAAAGGCAGTATAGTTTTCTTGAACTATTACTCCCTTCATCCCATTTTATCTGATGTCATTTGATCGGGAACAAAGTTTTAAGGGGAAAAAAAAGACTTCTTGAAACTTCTAAAGTAAGTTGTAGAAATTTGTGCGACTGTAAATATCTCATTAAGGGTAAAATAGGAAGTTCAAAGTTAAATAATTTCTAACTGTAGAAAGTTTAGTACAGACTAAAAAGAAAGAACATCACATAAATTGAAACAAAGGGAGTATTTACTATGAGAGTTGACTATACTTTAGCCTAAACCTGTAATGGCCTTTTAGGATAGAAGTCTGCATCTTATTGTGATGCTTAATGAATTGTTCATTTTGTTTTATTTTGTGGTATCGAATCTGAATTGTAGTTTTTTTCTGCTCTGGCTTGTACGAGAGACCAAAAAGATGCAAAGGGAAATAGAAATAAAGAGAATTCAGAAAGAAAAGGAAATAAAGTAGAAAAAGGCAGAAACTTGTTTCGTTCGCACTAACTGATCTATGGTTATAGCAATCTGTAGAGATATGATCTTAGGGAATCGGTTGCATGTGATAGGTTATTAGCAACTGCTGACGGAGGGACTAAGCTGTAAATATTCATAAACGTAAATATGAAAATCAGTGATCCAACAGTTACCATCCTCACCTAAACCTCAAGGTACAACCCTTGCACGTTACATTTACCCCCTTCAAAGAACTTGATGCATACAATTGAAGCTTGGGGAATGTGCCGTATAACCTTAGGTACCCAATTAGCTTCTTATAGCAAGAGAATTGCGCATTGTGCTAGAATCTCTGTTAAAGTCGAATTTTGCCCCTTTACCATGCTTTTGTAAAAGTTAGTCACAGGTTCAGTCAAGCATTGTCCATCCTCAGCAAGTGTTGGTGGGTCAATTGAAGGTGTAACTTGGGCTGCTACATTCTAAATTAACCGTGACACATGGAACACTGGATATATCTTAGCTGTTAGAGGCAATTGAAGTATAGGCAGCAGACCCAGCATTCCTTTTTACCATATAAAGTCAAAATTTAGCGAGTCACAAACCTTTTAAGTTTTTTTTATAAGGTAAAATAACTTTCAGTAACTAGGGTTGCGATTTCAGATTACCCAATCTCTCGTTACAAACACCCTTTCAATTTTTCTGAGTGTGCATAAAATTTTACTCTTTCATGAGCCTTCTCCAAGTTCTCCTACTGCTTCTGAGCTATCATTTGTGCTTGTTTGACTGAGCTACTGTATCAAAGATTGGGGAGGAGGGAATCTATACCGGGCTTCAGAAGGATTGTTTGTAAAGAACCGTGAAAATTATTTCTTGCACTCCCCAGGTTTCTGATTAGTGGTACATCTCACATAAGTATCCAAGTACCTGATCACTTGCTATGTTGTTGATTGATACTCGAATTTTGTCCGAATGATCACCAAAAGGAGATGTGATGCTGTTGGAATACAAGAATAGCCATCAGAAAGAGGAAAGAGTATAAATTATAAGGAAGGAAACTTTGACCGAGTAGCGGCTTAAGAGTGCCCCTGTTGGCTTAATCTTTTTAAGTCTAGCAAACTCGTCAAGTCTATGACATCATTAAAAAAGCTTATACCGTACAAGGGTGTCTCCCGTCTAGTGCGAGGAAGAGTGGACATATACGGTATATAGCTTTCCCTTGCATTTATGCAAAGAGGTCTGGTACCATGTGAAAGAAAAAAGCGAGAGAAGCATCTAGGGGTGTGGCCTAGTGGTCAATGAAGTGTTATGTCAATTATTAAGATTTTTTTTATAAATGTGGTGTACGGGCCAGCATGCACCTCGACTAATTCCACGCGGTACCTGCTACCTCCCACCAGCACAAGGAAGAAATCACCTAGTATTTTACCTTTGTTGGGATCTCAGGGATCTCAACCTGACACCTCATGGTTCTCAACCCACTTTATTGACTACTAGGCCGCACCCTTGGGTGCGGCAATTATTAAGAATATTATAGTGTAGCAATTTGTTACTGATTTTTTTGTCTTTCAACCCGCCTCAGCAAAGTAAAGGTATTGAAACACATCGAGTATGCTTATTTTGCAAACTAGAAATGGAAAGAAGTTACTGGAATCGCTTAAGTAGATACACATTGATTGTGTTGCCGAATATTGAACAATCATCCAAAATGAAGGTGGTGTTGTTTTCTCCAAAGAATAGCTGGTAATTGTATGATGCAAGAAGAACTATGGTTTGCAATTTACATGGAAAAGAATCTATTCTCAATCACCGAAAAAGGTACAGTGACAAACTTTCAAAAATTTGGAGTAGCTTGAATTGGCAGCTAAAGAGTAGTTAAGAAATTGCCTGAATAGCTTTCTTAAAAAAAATAAAATAATAATTTGCCTGAAGAAAGGTTGAAAGTTGTTGAAAAAGTTACAAAAATGGGAAGAGAAAAAAGAGGCTGGAAAAAGGTAGCCCCATGGAATTGGTCACTCAAAAGAAGTGCTCAGAGATGTTACCTTTCTCCAAAAAAAAAAGTGGCTAGAGGTCCATCAAAAAAAAAAAGTGCCTAGAGGTGTGGCATCTGGAGTAGATATATATGTGGCGCCATCGAAGCAGTCACTAGAAATGAAAATCTTGTTGCCAGAATGGTCATCTAAAAGAAGCAAGATAGTGAAATTATGAAAAAGGAAGGCAAATTCTGGCCAGACAAGGCCATCCATAGGTACGCCGTACGCAGAAGGTGCTTATGTCTCTACCAAGGTCTGTGGTAATTTCTGAATGAAGAAAAGACAGGAAAAAATACTTGCCAATTGCCATAATTGGTAGTTAACACATTCAGGAGAGCTCCTTATATAGGAGTTTTTTTTTTAATTTAAAGAAATATATGAGTGTTAAGTTGCATGAAATAAGAAAAGCTTTCTACTTCTGGGGATTTCTAATTATTCTGACATATTCATTAGTAATTCTCTTGACGTTTAATACATCTCATCATGTTCAAGGTGATAAAACAACTTGAGTTCGCTTATTTTAAAGAGGAAATAAGCTAGGGGTTGACGTTGTTCCTTGCTGTCAGAAAAATCATTTATAATAACAATAACAATAACAACCCAGTGTATTCCCACAAGTGGGGTTTTGGGGAGGGTAGGATGTACGCAACCTTACTCCTATCCTGGAAGGGCAGAGAGACTGTTTCTGATAGACCCCCAGCTAAATAAAAGATGGAAGAAGCACTGATAGCAAGTAATAACAATACAAGATATTTAGAAAACAAAACCAAGATAGCAAAAGAAAAGATGAAAGAAGTTCTGATAACAAGTAATAACAATATAAGATATGTAGTAATAGCAAACTAAGGATAAAAATGATACCATATTAACACTAATACTATTGAACTAAGGAAGACAAAGGGAAACGCTCGACTACCTATTAACCTTCTATCCTAATTCTCAACCTCCACACCCTCCTATCAAGAGTCATGTCCTCGATTAGCTTAAGCTGCGCCATGTCCCGCCCGATCACCTCTCCCCAAGACTTCTTTGGCCTACCTCTACTCTTCCTCTTATTCCCCAAGATCAACCTCTCACACCTCCTGACTGGGGCATATGTGCTTCTCCTTTAAACATGCCCGAACTATCTTAACCTCGCCTCTCGCATCTTATCCTCCACGGGGGCCACTCTCACCTTGTCCTGAATAACTTCATTCCTAATTCTATCTAACCTAGTATGCCCACACATCCATCTCAACATCCTCATTTCAGCTACTTTCATCTGCGGGTAAAAATATAGAAAAAAGGATACATTTTCGTGATCAATGGGATGCATTTCTATTGTGTATGTAGTCATTTCTTGCTCATGAAGATGGTTATGGTGTCATTAACCAGTTTGCTTTAAAATCTATGTTAATGCTTTGATTTATTTTTTAAGGATCAATTTGTGTATTTGATATGAATCTTTGTTATCTGTTCGATAGGTAACGTGCTATTGTTGAAGAACAACTTGAACTTGAGTCCTGATATTCCTGAGGTTTCACAGGAGAAATTGCTTTCTCTTGTTGCTGAGCGGCTGATAGATTCAAACAGTAATGTCAATGTAATTATATTGCCTTTATGGATAGGTTTTTTGTTCCTTTCATTCGTGCTATTTTATATACCCATACACATGTGTTCTCTCTTTACTGGATTTGAGGTAATTGTTAGTATTTTTGATTGCTGTCCAGGACAAAGATGAAGGGTATGTAGAAAATCAGCAACAGAATATTGCTGATGCAATTGATTTGCTTCCTAGACTTGCCACTGGTATTGATGTAAATATAAAATTCAGGAGGTAGACAATCTTTCCTCTTTTTGATTGCTTTTATTCATTTAATTAACATATGGGTCCGTATATCTTTACGATGCAATAATATGCATGTTTCCAGTTGTGGTTCTGATGAAATACATGTCTTGTTTGGCAGAATTGATGACTTTGAGTTCACTCGTGAATGTGCAATATTTGATCTTTTGGATATTCCACTTTATCACGGTTGGATAGTTGATCCACAGGTATCAGTTTTGGCTACTTTCTTTGAGTTCACTCGCGAATGTCCGAGGACATTCTTGTCGCAGATTCTAATTGCTAAATCAATATTCGTTTTATATTTATAATTTATCTCTATTTTATCCACGAATTAAATGACTTCTTGATGTCCTATAGTTTGGTCGAATGGTGGACAACTCATTTTGGCCTTCGAAAACCTTCTAAAATTTATTACTCAGATGTGTATAACATATGGTAATGAAGTCTGAGGTTGCATCAAGGATAAGTTTTTTTTCCAGTAGAAGTTTTAATGATGAAGCTGTGCATTATTTTGACCATTTTGCCCTAAAATGTAAGATTGAAGACCTTATTGCAACTTTTGTTTAAAGTGAATTGTTTTTTGAGTTATCAATTTGTTCCAGGATCATGATACTGCAAATGCAATTGGATCAAAGTCGTATAATACTTTGATGGGGGAGCTTGTTGCCCTTGAAACCCAAAATATGGACACTGGGAATAAGAAAAATTCTGAAGATGATGATGTTGATTTTGCTGCTGCTACAACTGCAGCACTAGGGGTACCTTCTCCATGCCTTTCGAGAGGGAGATCATTTGAAGATTCTCCTGTTTCTATTACCGATAACCATACAGCCAGAAAAGGAGATATTGAAGAAGAAGCAGAGCTGTTGAGAGCCCTTCAATTATCTGAAACTTCATTAGTAGAAACTGATGGACTGAATTCCTTAGGTGAGATAGCAAATCTAAAGTGTCCAGAGCCGATGGTTCCTACCAAGACTTCAGAAGGAAATGATATTGAGACGACACAACCAGTTTTGCAGCATGAAGCATTGATACCCACAGAAGTATTAGTATCTAACGATAGAGATCCAAATAGTTCCCAAATAGTCTCCGGAGCAGCGATTAATTCATCCCTGAAAATTGATCAGGAAACCCCTTCCCAAGAACTTGGAAATGCAAAACTGCTGGCTGAAAATGAGAGTGTACCTCTTGAGTCAGGACAAGTTTCTTCATCTGCTTGTGAAAATCATGAGCATCTTTTTGGAGGTATGAATGGCATTCAGGGAACACACACTATTGCTGGAAATGCGAATGCAGCTGAACCTAATCATCAAGTTGGTTGTGATGCGTTTGATTCATCTAGTTCCTCAATACCATCTGCAGTCTCAGATTCATCGGGTGGCAGACGACATGACACAGATGAACCTGAAACCTTTAATTCTTCCATCGATGATGATGAGCCCATTTATGAAGGAGAGGATTGCATATTGGAGTCAGCAACCACCAGTTACCAAAGTCGAGAGCCTATGTATGAAGGTGAGGTGGTTCTTGCTGAACAAGTGAATGGAGGCAGTACAGATGTGCCTGAGACAATTGTGAAGGATGAAATCACACAGAGAGAAGGTGAGAAATTCTTTAATATGAATGAATCAGACAACTCAGGTGCTCTTGTGTAGGATGAATGTCTTCCTTGATACTTATCAAAGAAAAAGGAAAAGATGAATTTCTCCTTGATCTAATTGTATTTTCCTTTCTTTCATGTAATTTTATTACCTTGACAGTTTAAGTAGAACACTATGTTTGCTCTTCTTAATTCACATTAGGGGAACTGGTGAGGAACTTTCTGAAGAACAGTGCAAGCCAATTAACAATCTTTGGGTATGCTATCATTCCCTGTTACAAGTTCATTCTCCTGTTCAGAACTGTAATACTTATGTTTTGCTAGTAGTAAGCGAATACTCTTTTCTTTCTCTTTTGCGCAGATTATTTTCCTTGCAAGAGGGTTTGAAAGAGCGGGAACTTTGTGTTTTCTTCAGGAATAATCATTTCAACACCATGTTTAAGGTCTGATGTGCTTGCTCTGTTACTATTATCATTTTTATATTATTTGTACTGGGGTATAATAATTTCCTGTGTGGATATGATTATATCTCCACTTCTCAAGTTTTCTGGGAATAGAACACTGATGTCAGCTTATGTGCAGTTTGAAGGCGAACTATATATTTTGGCCACTGACCAGGGATATATAAATCAGTCTGATTTAGTATGGGAGAAACTCAATGAGGTAAGAAGTGTGTCTTTTCATATATTTACCTTGGATTTGACTAATTGGGTAAAACTGAGTTTACATTTTTAACCTGGGAATTTCATACTAGAAAGGTATGTTGAATCTCTGTTTTAGCTTACATTTGCAACAGGTAGTTTCCACTACATTCTGCTTGTGGTTAACTACTTTTTAGAGTAGAAAGTATTCTGTTTCATATGCTTAAATCCAACCACCTGTTTCAAGAGTCCTTATTTACTCCGTTAATGGCATTGAACAAATGCTTGGTTTCATATGCTTAAATCCAATCACCTATTTAAGAGTCCTGTCGCTCTCACTTTGAATGGAATGAAACAAAGGCTTGGTTTATGTGTGGATGTTTTTTTTTTTTTTTTTGGGTAATTAGAGTATTTCATTAATCACCAAGAGCAACAATTACAAAACAAGCTAAGTCATCCTCGGCTAGCTACACTTAATACATAATTCTATCTCTCAAACTATCCTACTTGCAGTACATTACTCTTCAAACTAATATCAAGCTAGCTGGTCTATATGATTGATGTTGTCAGAAGAGAAGCTGCTGCATCTTGCTTCTCAAAATTCCTGTTACTCTGATGTTGCATGTACATGCAACTTCCCTAGCAAGTTGCTCAGTAGTCTTTGCTTCCCTATGTGTGGATATATTGTTGAACTAAAGTTGTAAGTGTTTCTAATAATGGTAAATATCAATATTCTCCCTTCCTTTCGTGTCAAGGGGATGGAAGTTTTTATAAGTTGATGGTGCAGTATGTGACTGTAAATGAGGGATAATATGGAGAAACCGGATGGAGAGGCTATTTGAATATGCACAGGAAAGAGCACATATTATACTTTCTCTAACCCCAACCACAATTTTATCTCTGTTATTAGTAAATGTGGAGGCCAACTTGTCCCTTATCCAAAAAAGAAAAAAAAGACGAAAAAACAAGGGACTGAAAGACATAATTTCTCCTTGAGTTTAATTATCTGAATCGAGAATAATTAGATATTTTTGGTAGAGGAGCTTAATGATGCTATTGATAGTTTAGTGGGGCAATGTATAGGATTCATTAAGGTGAGGCCGGGCAATGTATCTGACACACTAGCACAGAGTAAGTTATAGGTTTCTGATTGTTTTACGCTATATCCAAAATCCAAGATTCAAGGTTGTGAAGACATAAAAGAGGAAAGAAGATATATTGAAGGCTTGGTTTGTTCGAGTATCATTGGAATTTATATCGTTGCAATTTAATTAATGCTGTACCTAGCCTATTTAATTCCTATTTACCAAATCATACAAAGTTGGAGACAAATCTTAACATTAATTTCTTACTACCTACAAAATCATCCAAAGTCATAACAAAGGTTAGCCTCTATTTTCAGGGGCAGAGAAGCAGTATCATGTGTAGTACACTAGAAACTCATTGTAACCTGTCGATTTGTAAGTTCCACTTGTGGCTGCAGAAAGCTTAATTCTGAGCTCTAAGTAGCACCTGATCATAGTAGTCACACAATTCTGCCACAGATTCAATGGCCTTTAGAAACCGAATATCAGCTAGTCCATGTATACTTTTGAAACTTAGCAGGGTTTTTTCCCTCAACCAAGAGAACTTCTCTTTCTGTAAATCCTATATGATCAACTGAAGGTTGAGAGCCGCTTTGTGCTATGCACAGCATTGTAGAATGGAATTGTAGATCATATGAGAGGAATGATACTAATCAGGTGTTACTTCAAAATTTCCCTGCCTTTACTTTGATAAATTTTTGCAATTGTACCAATAATGTTTCTACCTTCTCGAGAGATAAACTCGTCGACCATTATTAATGCTTTCTAGATATCATAATACTGAAAACGGGGACCACTTCTGTATACTAGAAATTTCAAATTAATCAGAAGTTATATGTTATCTTCAGGACTTCAACTTTGGACATGATTCCATTTAGAGATAATGAACTTCATTTGCCCCCTAATATTCATGCAGGTTAGAAGTAGGTCAGTCGGTAAGGATTTGGGGAGTAACCTTTTCCAGTAGTGTGCAAGGAAAATCACAAGAAATGATCTAAGTTATTAAGTTAGAACAGCAAAATTTGGTAATATAATAACTTATTATAAGGTAAACTGGTAATATGATAATAACAACCGCAACATGTTCTACAACAAGTCTCTTGCTATCGGAGTTTTCTGCTTTTCTATCTTAGGCTGTTCCAAAGTTTAGTACTCTTTCCTTCCGGTTTTAGGTACATTAGATTGAACACGGTTATTTGGTGAACATAAACTGCCTTTGTATCTAAAATAGATGTAGGTCCAAAAATGAGGCCAACATTTGAACTTTTTGCATGAAAGTGAGTCCCATTAACCCATTTGAGAATAATATATTGAAAAAGCATTGGAAGAGTAAGTTTTTTCTATTAGGAAATTAGACATTCTGAAGCAAGGCAGAAGGGAAAGTTGGTCTCCTTACTTGGAACAAATGGAATATTATCTTATGACACTCGAACTGCGATATGAAGCAAAGTTGGTTAGCCAGGTAAGGAACAGCTAGGCTTTTAACTATTGCGATATAGCTAGACAATTGACATAAATCTGCAAAAAAAAAATCTTCTCCCTTTTTCCTAAGCATGTGTTGTTTGCTATGTTTTTTAGTGTGAAATTGCATCAAATTTGGTGTACTATACTGTTACCGATGTGATTGCTATTCTTGACTTTTGCATGTCTTGTTGCCTCTTAGAAGGGACAAACAGTATAATGCAGCTCTATTAAATTTTTTTTGGTCTTGTTTGCAGAAGTTAGTGTGTTATTACTTGCTTGCATTGCCTTTTAACTCTTGAGTTCTCAATATTCTCCAGGTTAATGGAGACACGATATATGTGACTGGAAACTTCAAGGAGTTCAAGGTCGAAGATAATTCCAACACCACATGGGATCAACGGAGTGCTATGGCCAGTACTGCAGTATGTAGTTCTCTGCTTGTAATAGAATGTTATGGATTTGTACCAATGACGTTTTTGAAACTGACTTCAGCTGTTACTCCCAGGACTATCTGGCAAACATGGACAATTCAGGACAAGGACATCCAACTTTCAAGTAATTATCTAATACTTTAATATTTAATCATCTTCTTTTTGCATATATGCACGAGACTGGAACATTATCAGATCATATACTGCATCAGGATCTATTCTCTTTCATTAGCTCTCCCATTGTCTTTTAATTGACAAACATCGGTTTCGACCAGTCCGTCTGTTGATATTCAACTTTTGCCTTCATTGGTAGTTAAAGCTAGATGGAGATATTTGGGCAAGGTTGTTTTGTCTTCCTGTTCTAGCATCAAAGCCATTCTATTCTATGTCAACAAATATGTTGTGTATGGAGAAGTTGCTGGCGCGTTTCAGTTACAATGTAGTGAAACATTAATTTAGTTAGAGAGGAATAAGAGATGCTTTGAAGGTCAAAGTCATCACATTTCTGTTGCAAAAACAGATGTTTGCAGAACTCTTTTAATATTTTTGGTGTAAGGATAGCGTGATAGGTACTCTTTTAATAAAATTTACTTTACCTTTTCCAAAAAAAAAAAAGGTTTTAATTGTAACACGGGAACTTTATTTAACTTTTTAAAGTTGATATGCTCAATTTTGCAACCTTAATTTGATAGTATTGAATATATCTCTACTTGGTGCTAGCACTAACTTTTGCTGATTGTTGGCCTGGCAGTTCTGATTTACAATTGGCAATAGCTCTTCAGCAACAGGAATTTGAGCAACAGCAACAGGCACCACAGAGAAATCAAAACCCCCAACAACAAGCTGTAAATGGTGCGTCGAGATTGATTACTGGTCCTCAGGTAGGCGCTTGAAATTTTCTGATATTCATTCTTCTGAGCAGGTTTTCCTGTTTTGAGTTTGCATATATTCGATAACTCCTGTCTTGAAGTACTTTCGACTAGTGGATTAGGTCACGAAATGAAGTGATATGTGAAAAATGTATACAACCAGCTTCATAATAATCTAATAGAGTAAACTACTTTTATACAGGTACCAAGGAGCAAACCTACATCTTCGTCAGCCAGGCCGGAGCCAAAGTCATCAAAAGACAAGTGTATTGTGATGTAAGGACTGCAATTTTTAAGTTTGTTTGTAAAGTAGAAAACGCCTTCTTTTCCTAATGACTCTCATGTTAATCAAAACAACACTTTTTTTTAATTTAAGTTGCAGTTTTCAACTTTCTGTATAGAAGGTATATATCAGGTCATTTCTGGTTAATGACAAAAAGTCAAAGATCTTTCCTTTTTAATGGAATGACCCTATTTTGTTGGTGAAACATTAGGCTACTTACATTGTTACAACCTGTGCACTTTCCTGTTGGCTAATAAGCCAATGCTTTGGAGATTTGTATTTCGATTTCATCAATTATGTCAATAGGTACTTTTACCTTGTTTGTTGGCTAGCTTGACAAATAATTTAATTTGAGACAGAGGTAGCGAAGTATTGGGCACGTATATACAAGGCAATACTAATTTGTTAGGGTCAAGTTTTTGTCATGTCAGTAGAATCCCATGAGTGAGGTCTAGGGACGATAGCGTGTACGGAAACATTACCCCTATCCGGGGAAGATAGAGATGTTTCCGCTAGATTCTCGGCTCAAGAAAAATGAAAAGAAATAGTAGAAACATGCATTATCAACAAACAAGGCCAGTAAGATAGTAACAACAATCACATAGCCAAAGCCAGAAAATGGATGAAAGGAAACATTAACAACAAAATATAAGAAACCAAAGCGAATGTTGTCATTTCAGTGCGTTTACTTTTAGGTCTGATATATGTTATAAGTCTTTTAGGCTTGTTAAAGATTTATACTATGTTATTAGCAAATGCAGAGAACTCTAGCCGTAGAGAAATTTTATACTAAGTAGAAAATGCAGAGAACTCTAGTGGTGGAGAAATTTGTAAAGTTAAAGTGTTTAAATGAAATTTCTTTGCAAGTTCAAATTGATCATTTAAATAAAATCTTGAAGTGGTGGATGCATCTTTTACCCTTTTTTACACCATGATTACTACTTGTGTCACATAATTACAAGTTAGAGTGCAACTTTAACTACTTTTATAGAATCTAATAAGTCAAGGTTTGTATTTGTTTTGGAACATAAAGATTAAAGAAGCTAAATGATTTTGTTTAAAGATGATTAGAAGGTTTATTGACTTTGAGGGTTGTCATTAATTGAAGAAAGCAAAAGGGAAGATATTAAATTCATAGGGCAGATAAAAGAAAGAGAAAAGTCAGGATATGTGGGGATAATGAAAGGGACAATACCCCCTCTCAAAAAAAAAAAAAAAAAAAAAACCCTTTT